ATTGACAGGAAATAGAGACATGATACCCTTTTACAAACATAGAATATCAGACTTTGAAACATCTAAGTTTCATCTTTTAAAAATAATTGTTAATCCGAGCCTCACGTAAGTGTAAAGCTCAACCAAGTTTCCTATCTGAAAGTGTCCGCAGGTCCTCCCACCATCACCACTGCAACTTGCTCAGAACTTTGTGGGTCTTTAAAGTAGGTCAGTGCCTCGAGAGGTGACAAGAGGCTTTTAAATTAGATTAGTCATGACCTAACCGCGTTATAATTGAATGATTATCTATCGAACACTTTTTTACTTCTTCTTCTTCTTTTTAATCTGTGACGTGATACGTGTATTTAAACGTAAACTGGTTTAGAATTTACTACCATTAAAATCTAGACTGAGGTAACCTCAACGGCCAGCAGCCGACTGTCCGTAACGGTCTGAGAATCACATTAACCTGCCGTGAACAGCAATGAAATAACTGACGGATCTCTCCGAATCTCTGTCATAAACACGTCTACCTGCTCTTCTACTATATAACATAACATATAATATTTAGATAATCAAAGATTAGTTTTGCTGGTGTGGCGGAGGTGTAGTCTCTGGCCTGCTGCAGAGGAGGGGTGACGCAGTGAGGTCGCAGGGCGGGAAGAACAGGTGTGCAGGAAAGAAGTCGGTGGCAGCCATCCAGTGTGTCTGCGTGCTGAACTGAAAGGCTAACAAAACGCAGTCCATGTTGTCACAAATGAAAAGGCTGTTGCTCACCTCAACCTGACACCGGTGTGTGCGTGTGTTTCGGGGGTCTTGCTGATATTCCCAGATGTGTGTGTTATGTGGTTTGGATAACTTTCCTACCAGATTCCATTCACTCACAATATGGCATATTCTTGTATAGTTATTATTTTTAATTTACTTCTTTACTATACTTTTCTGTTGATGTTACAGTAAGTTGACCTTTCAACTACTAATGTTTTGATGTGCAGTGAAAATCGCATATTGTGAGGCCCTCTGCATCAAATAGGTTTAGCCTACACAGATAACAGTGTGGTGCTACTGAGTTGATGGGAAGGACTCATATTGTTAAAGCTGAGCAACAAAGGCCACAGAAGCCCTTTAACACAAAATATACTTAAATGTATAAGTTACATTTTGCACTGAATGTTCTGACTGTATCCTGTGACCATGTAGATAAATTGTGTTTCTAAATGATGTTATGATTGTTATTTACCTTTGTAAAAAGCCATGCAGACTGCTGTTGTACTCTGTATTATTGTTTGGCCCCTTCACAAAGGCTAATTAAAACCTCACAAACACAACTAGTTCACATATGAATGGATTTACTTCACATTTCCAAAATAAGCTTCAAACATTTGACCCACAGGCCAACTGCTTGCTTTTTAAAGTGGACAGTTTCAGAGAAGGAGGGCAACAATTTCTGCTTCTCATTGTTTTGAAACCAGGAAGAATGATCTTGCAAGTCATAAGATCACATCATGAGTGAATCTCATCATCAGCTTAACATCCTTCTTACTGACAAACACATTATCCAAAATGAAACAGGAAGAACTCAAATATATTAATTTGCTTTATAAAGTATCATTTATTAAATGTCAAAGTTTTCAGCAATAGTACTTCTTTGCACTAAAAGTTTTTTTGTTTTGTTTTGTTTTGTTTTTAAATAGTTTTTTGTTATAGTTCGACTGCTCTATCCCGCATAAATTCACACTGGGTTGTATGTGACCCATGAAGTAAAAGTCAAAGTGAAATTTATTGTCATCTCAGCCATGTAAATGTATGCAAAGAGACAAATTATAAAGCTCCAGGTTTACACATAGTGCAAATGGCAGGATACTGTACTCTGACATAGAGAATAAGTAAAAAGATACAAATTCTAAATACAAACTTAAACTGTATGGTTAGTCTGCAGTAAACTCCAACACAGAAAGTATGGAATGATGCTTGTATTGATCAGCCATGTCCTGAGTTTATGTACCGTACTCTGCAAGACACAAATGAAGTGGACAGTTGTAACTTATATGAGCTGCACAGTTACAAATTTGCAGTACGTGAAAGTGTAATACAGAAGAAGCAGCGCAGTCTGGATATAAAATGCAATGTCTGAAACTTGAATAGACATGAACATGACAGATGCAGTTTACATTCTAACCAGACAGCCCTGCACAGAAGCAGGAGGTGCCGCAGCTTTGCCATCTGTATGGAACCATTTAAGAATGAGAAGATATGAAATGACATGGATAAAAAAACAAAAATAACAAAAGTTAAACATTCTCAACTTTTTCCCAATACATTAAAACAGTTTTCACACATGCACTGCAGCTCTAAACCTTTTCACACATTACTCACTGGAGACGCACATGTGAACAATTGTGCTACTCAAGAATGTTTTAAAAATGACAAAGCATTTTGTAGTATTACACTGACGGTGAACAGCAGACTCTGATCGATAGAGCAGCATAGATCTATTATTCGGCCTATGCTTTACTAACTGATCTAGAAATGGAGACTTGAGTCTGCTGTTGTCACAGATTTTGTTTTTAACTACTTTAAAACCCACAAAGGCGTGTGCTAGTTTTACTTCCTTCACACCTAAAACAAACTGGGGCAACTGTTCTTTGTCATGACTTCTTCATGCATTACACCCACTGAACAAATAAATGTAAATATTTTAGCTGCAATAAAAAGCAAAAACATAAGCAAACAGATATCCAGTACATAATCATCTCCCCCTGACTCATTTCCTAACAATGACATTTGGTTTAAAATCACTCATTTACTGGCTTCTCATACTTATTCCCCATCTTTCCAAGAAGAACCCCATTTCTGGTGTGGAAAACCTCAGCCAAAGACGGACTCATGGCCGAGGGGATATACTCCTGACAC